ACCGAATCATTTTTTGCTCTTAAGAAAGGAGAAAAAAAAGGAGGATATTAAGAAACCTTTTTGAAGATAGATGGTTGCAACTATGAGAATTTAATTTGATGCACAAAGTTCCATATCGTGTTGTATTTGTTGCATTATTTATTCATGTCCGGACATGGATGGTCCACTTCATAAAGTCTCTTCCTTTCTTCCCTCTACCATAATTTTTGTTTCTTTTCGAGTAAATTAAGAATTTCATGTTTCGGTCTAAACAAAAATTATAGCCCGAAATTAGTGTACGACGAATTTTACAGTGTATAACTCATAAAAATAGAAAGAGTAGTATTATCACAAACTTTAAGAAAGCTTAGTATTTGATATTTTAATGAAAATAATAGAAGTATTTTTTTGTTTTATATGATTGATTCATATCACCTTTTGTTCCTTTTTAAAATTTTTGATTACCTAGAGATATTTCTTCCGTTTCTTAGAAAATAATGTTTTGGGTGTTACATATATATTAAAAAAAAATAAATCTAATAATATTTAATTCATTTTGTCACTTTTCAAGACAATTAAATCATATTAGGCAGGTACCCGTGGGATAGGAATAATAAAAATATATTTTAAAATTATAATTTAATCATTTACATTCATCACAAAAATTAATTATTATCTCAGTTAACAAACACGGTTAATATCCCAACCTATGTGCCTCGTCTCGTACCCGCTTCCCGTCCCAATTCTTACCCGTTCCGCCCCAGCCCTTACATAGGTCACATCCCAATCTTTACTCGTCCCGTCCCACCCTAATCCTTACCACTTTCTCGTCCCAGCCATTACCCATCAAGATCCAGTCTTGTCTAATCATTGAGCTTCCACTTCTTGTATAATGTGGTCAAAGGTACATGTTCTGAAACCATATACAAAATCAACATCCCGATGGACACATATTGCTAAGGTTTTTATCATAAAAAGAAAATATAAATCAACCATTGCACCAATTAAAACAAAAAAGTACCTCGTTGAGGACACTGCGAGACCAAAATAAGATATAAGAAACCGCAGCGTTAAAATCATGGGGAGCGAAACAAAAGATATTTAAAATGAAAACCATACAAATCATGAGGTAACCAGATATTTCGTCTTATTTAAATGGTTCTAAACATTAATAGGTGAGACTTAACTCTCATAAATGTATGTAAAACAGATTGTTTAAAAGAATTCTATCAAATTAAGATGAGCTAAATTTAAGAGGGGAGCCTTAACCCTAACACTTAATAAAACTATAGAAAAAGTTAGTTAGTTTGTAACGTTACAAAACAAAAAAAATTAGTTTGATTAGGTTTTTAGTGAAAATTACTACAGTAACCATACCATGGTTACTACAACAATAAAATAAAATGTTATGATCGAATACTTGTTTTATACTAATAACTTATATTTATTTTTTAATTTGTAGATATACCATTTATATTTTAGCAAATTAAATGATTCTAAACATTAATATGTGACCTAAACAATAATAAATGTATGCAAAACATTTAAAACAATTAAAATTTTTAGAAAATTAAGAGGAGCTAAAATCTAAGAAACATTCACACACTGAATAAAACTACGGTTCAATTCACTTCGGCTATAAAAGAACTTGGTTCGTATATAACGTTGCAAATAAAATAAAGTTTCAATTCGATTTGGTTTTTAGTGAAAATTGCTACAATCCACTATATAAAAGAAGTAGCCTATCCTTTGTTAGAAGTCTTTTGAGAATTCTCAAGCAAGTAGAAAATGAAAACCGAAGAACAACTTTTGAGAATCATATCACTTTAGCCGAAATAACTCAAGGAGATGGAACCATTAATTGCTCACACGAGTTTTTGGAAGAGAAATTTTGTGTAAACGCACATACCGCATTGCGCGATAGAAATTTATCACATCTACTACCAACATTATGAACTGCAATGTCCCAAAAAAAGATGAGAAGACTATGAATTTTCTCAGTTCTGGCCGAGGACATATCATTTATACTATTTTCTTCAGTTCTTGTTTTTATTCTTACATCAACCATTTTACTTCTTTTTTGAGATTTATACTTTCTATTACTCTCAGAATTTGAAAGGCTCTCCTAGTAGAGAAGAGAAGATATATCTTTCTCTTTTAATATTTTATTTAATATTGCAGCTTGGTCAAGCTCATTAGCATCTTTTAATTTGGCACACCGTTTTTCCAAATCCAACCATTTTATGAAGTGGTTATAATATATATATATACATGTTAATCGTATTAGCTCTTATGTATATTTCAAAGGATGAAGACAAAAAAATCATATCATTACCATCGTTTGTTAAACTGAATTTGTTTTCAAACGCAAAACATACGTCATAAGCCAACTTAATTTCTAGAGTAATGCTTACCCTAGCTCTCACCACAAGAGTTGCATATTACACGAATGCATTTAACATTACGAAGAGTAAGAAG